ACTATTTTTTCTATAGTACAGCTATACAAAACATAGATAGTGACTTCTGTTTTCATATTGATCTGCTTAGCACTCCATTTATTTTTTGAATAAGCACTGTATTACACTACACTCTACCTATTTTACTTTAAACCTTTAAACATTGTTGTTTTACACAATACCTCCTGATGGTAAATCATTAAATTCGACCAGACCAAATGTCCAGTTGTCTGAAGTAGAAGTACTGCTAACTTTATCAATTGTAAAATTTCAAACCTCTCCTTGCTTTATTATGATTATTACTCTGTTTTGGAACCAGGTCTCAGAATGTTGCCATTAGTTTCAGCAGAGCCTTCATTTAGCCCTTAGAAATCAAGTAAGTAACTTGTGCTGCGAGCAGTAGGAGGTGGACTTGCAATTTGAATCATAGGATCATAGAACACCACATTGGAAAGGACCTCAAGGATCATCTGACCCAAACTTTCTTGGCAAAAGCACAACCTAGACAGGATGGTTCAGCACTCTTAAAAGTGTCCAATGTTGGGAAATCCACACTTCCCTGGGGAAATTACTTCAATGATCTGTAATCCATGTGTCCACTTTTTTTTTTTTTTTCTGTATATGTTGGCTTTTCTTCCTGAATTTCTCTCTGAATTTCCTAGGATCCAGGAAAAGTGAAAAACTCCTTTCTCTAAGATTTCACTACAAGCCATATTCTGGAGTAACAAGAAGATAAACAATAAATTCAGGGCTATATTTAAAAATATTTTAAACATTTTGTTCAAATAACATGCTGATGGAAAATACCCCATTTAGTTAGCTGTGGAGATAGCCAGGAGACACTAAATAATACTGAAAACTAAAGTACCAAGTATGTCAGGTAATACATAAAGATGAGTTTTCTGGAATACAGAGGCATCAGACACAGGAGGGTTTCAGTGTACAAAGCTGCCATATCCTGCCACATTCTGTACGGTATCATTCAGTCTCCTTTACTGCCAGTCAGCACCAACAAAGCAGCTCAGACAGAGCATGTGTACAAGTACCCCAAGTAAACATAAAATGATTGGGCTTGTTTTGCAAGCATGATGGGACACAGGGTATGGCTGTAGGATAAAACAAGCAGTATAATTTTAATGTATTGTGTGAAAAACATAGGAAAGCAGTAAAGTGATACATAATATTTTCTGGTCTCGGTGCTTGTAGAGTTAAGTCTGTAAGTTGGTGAACAGTGAGATGTATAGACATATGGCTGTCTGTTATTCAAAGCATTACCAATTCACACTTTAATGGTTTGCTTTGTAACAGTAAAGCCAGGAGACAGAGACATCATGTCATTAGATCTGTACTGCCCTTGAGTGGATCAAATTCAGCTCAGTGGTAGAACAAATAATAACACTGAATTGTATAGTTACTAGAGATTTACTCCTGCCTCACTAAGGGGACAGTGTCTAAGTGAAAAGGAGTCAATACAAGGCTAGATGCAATGCAACATAAAGCTGCACTCCACCCTCTCTTCATGGGCTGCATTTTAAGGCATATACACAGACGTTTCTGTTGAAAAGCATTCTCTGAATGTGGTGAGAAGCCTATTGCCTGGTCTCCAAATGAAGTGGGACTTGAGGGAAGAAATGTAAAAAGGCCAAGTCTTATCTTTTGCAATACAAATTAACACACTGAATTTGTAAAGTAGAATAAACTAGATCAGACTGTTATGTGGTCCAACTGCCTGAGTACCTCAGGGCACACCAAAAGTTAAATGTCCTATTGTTAAGTACATTGTCCAAACACCTCTAAAACACTGACAGGTTGCCTGGGGCATTGATCCCCTCTCCAGGGAGCCTGCTCAGTGTTTGACCACCCTCTCCTAAAGAAATGCTTCCTAATGTCAAGTCTGAATAGCTGTAAACAGGATATCTTGAATTAAGAATATAGACTATAATTTTGGTAGTTTGTGACATTTCTAGAACAAAACATATTAATCAGAAGAATTTTTTAAAGCAGAAATTATTACTATTCCCAGCAGTTAAACAAATCCAGTGCAAGGTCTTAAAACCCTCTCTTGACCCATCCACATTTTTCAGCTAAACAAAGTTCTATTCAAATAGCTTCTCTAATTCTGCTCCAATCCTGCTGGTTTTCTTTCAGCAATGTTGGATAGTGCTTGTGAGGAAGCCAGAAAAATGTTTTGTTCAGGCCTTACATAAGTTTCTTCCATGTAGGGGAATTAGAATTATTTTATCATTTTTGAAACATTTGTGTGCAAGTCCCTTATTGTTGCTGACAAAGTAGAATGAAATATGGTGCCACTCAAAAGCAGAGTTACAGAATCTCTTTGAAAATTCCTGTCAATGGTCACATCCAGGTATGATCACTTGGTGCAGGGGCAGCACCTCCAACATCAAGGCTCTGTGTCCATCACAAAGGACATGTCCGGGGCTGGATCAAGTGGCAGTGTAACTTGATCTAGATAAGTGTGAAATCGCAGCACATGCTGGGCAAATTATCCCCAGCCAGTGGCAGGGTGTTTATGGAGGCTCTGTTTTGGCTGGATGCTTGTGGGCTTACTAAGGACAGGCAGTGCTCGCCTGATAGACATTCTGCTGCTACTTAGTTCCTTCCAATAGATTTTTTAAACTAAATTGGAGCTGCTACAGTGAGATTGTACAGACTTATGGGTGTGGTGTTTTTGCACTAGGCTCATTAAGTGGGATTTGCCTTCTGGTGGGGACACAGCCTAAGGCAGGGGTACAAAATCAAGGGCAGCCGCAGTCACTGGGTGTTGGGATACTGTCACTTGTTCAAAATAGGCTCCAATATTGAGGTAACAATTTATAAAGACATTGCTAAAGAGGTACATCTAGGTACTTCATTGAAAGCATGGGGGAAAGGGACATTAAATAAGAGTGTGATGTTAGTCCATGCTAACATCTGTTTTTCTATTATAAAAGGTTCTTATATTTTTTGTTTTTCTAATCATCCTTTTTGAGTTGAGACAAACTTTCTCATTTCATCTATTTGATCCATTTGGTGCTTTTAGTTTGTTAATTTTTTTAGCATCTAATAGGGCACAATGTAGTTTGAATTTTGTGATGTGACGAACAATTAAAATGAGGGAACAGTGCTAAATCAAGGTAGCCACTTGTGTCTAATTCTGTGTAACTTCTACAATAATTTCTACTGACACAAAATAAGTAGTAGTTTTTGCTAAATGGACTAGTCTAGACTTGAATATATGACAGTGTAACACAATTCCCAAATGGGTGAAAATTTGTCTCATTATTTGTTAGTGTTTTATAAATACTTTATAATGCTGTAAATGGTTAAGCAAAGTGGCAGAGAATATCTGCTTATTGCACAGCCACCTGACGTTGGAAGTAGATACAAGTAGGCTGGAGGACAGTATTTGAATTCAGAATTATTGCAACAATAGAAGGAACTAAAAAAATTGAATGCATATCAGAAAAGATAAGTGAAAGGTAAAGTACTCAGGGATATTCAGCTAAATAAAAATAGGATGTGTAAACAATTGGCTTCATAAACATGAAGGAAAAACTCTGGATAATGGATCCAGAGTTGATGACAGTTCCACAAACTCCTTAGTCACCATTAGACCAGTGAGAATTCTGTCTGATACTGACCACAGCACGCACAGAGAAGCAGAAAGGCATGGAGCATTCTGCAAAAATACAACTTTATTGTTTTGAAAGAGTGCATGTATACAGCAGAACATCTTCAAAGCCATTAATGTTTGTAAAGATCAGCTCATCTTAGCAACCAGTTCTAAAAATGGAGTGCAGGCTCCCACAAACCTCATCAGATCACATCCAGGAGGAAGTGATTTTGTTACTGTGCAGAGGCTTCTACTGTATTCATTACAGCCAACAATATCAAAGCAGTGCACAGTAGCACGAGACAGCTACTGATCATTTCTTTCCCCATAACATTTCTATGGATAGGACAGTATAACTAGTAATGTATTCCCTAAGGAAATTAAAAAAACAACTTTTGGTATTGCAGGGTTTTGGATCAAATAGATGAAATTTCAAAAGCTCCCTAGGACATTGTATCACTGAGAAATGTGATAGCTGCAAATGGTTTCTTTTTGTATTAGTCTGGACTTCATTCATTTCCTTCTCTTCATGCATCTTTCTGAGTTTTCAGTGACCTGCATAATGTCATTGTCATGTACACAATATAAAAAAAGGAGAATATTCACACATTCAAAAAAAGGAAAATAACATCTTGTACCAGTAAAGTGTGTCATTATCTGGCACTCAGAAACCAGCAGAGGAACAGCATGCTGTGTGTAGCAGGGACCTGAGTGTCACTTCTCAGCTCTTGCTGCCCACATCTCTTGCTGGGTCTGGCAATTATAGGAAGAATTGGTCTGTGTCAGGAGAGCAAACATCAGCATTAATTATAACTGTGGGATAATTTGTAATGTTTCTTTTTTCTTTTGCTAACTTTCCTTTTGTGAGACAGTAGGGACTGACATTTATTGCAGGCCTTTATTTCTTTCCATCTTTATTCTTCACTGCATTCTGAATAGTTCTCAGAAAGTCAGCGTGAAATATGGATTAGATACATTCCCAGACAGATAGTACAGAGGAGAAGGGAAACAGGAGGAAGCAGGAAAGACACCAAAAATCAGATAAAAAGAGCTTCAAAGATTCTCTTCCCTCATAGCGCAAGTTTCTAAAGGATCAGAAGATGAAGCAAAACATGAAGGTTAACCTACGAATAACCACGCTGGATACTGGAATTGGATATAAAGGATGTACTTTAGAAAAACCGACCAGGTGCTTAGGTGGTCACAGCTGTGACACGGCCTGAGCCGGGTGTCGCCTCAGGGGGGGTCCGTGCACTGCAGCGCCTGAGTGAACGTGAACCTGACATCTACACCTGACCATCGCCGGCATCCCACGGGAACGGGCGGTGCGCTGGCACCGGGATTTCCCTGCGGGAATTGCTCGGCACGGAAGTGACGCGCGGCCGGGAAGTGACGGCGGTGGCGGCGGGAGCGCGGCATCGCGGGGCCGGTGCGGGCCATGAACAGCCGCCTGCAGGAGATCCGCGAGCGGCAGAAGCTCCGCCGCCAGCTCCTGGCGCAGCAGGTACGGCCCGGAGCAGCCGAGGCACCGGGGCGCTGCGGGGGCGGGGGCCCGGGGCGGGGGACCGGGCTGGACGCGGCGTGACTTTGTGTTTGCCGCTGTGCAGCTGGGGGCCGAGAACGCGGACAGCATCGGCGCCGTGCTCAACAGCAAGGATGAGCAGCGGGAGATCGCGGAAACCAGAGAGACCTGCAGGTCGGTATGGGAGGGCGGTGGCTGTCCAAAACTGGGGGCTCGATAGGAGAACAGGCCCGGCAAGTGCCATGGCATCGCACTCGGTAAAAGGAAATTAACTAATGAGTCAAATCAGAGCCGCGACTAAGGCGAGTAGGGTCTGATTACTCCCTTCTAGGAGCAGGTTGGAAATACAGGCTGACTTTTGTTTCTGGTGTGAAAAAAGCTACCGTGTAAGAAAACTGAGATCTGAATTTAGAATGGGCCGTCTGCTTCGGTTCCAGAGCCTTCATGCTTCTGCTAAGCACAGTTCAGGGCAGTTCAGTTTGAAAGTTCTCATGAAACTACAGATACGTCTAGGACAGAGCATTTACTGCTTATCAAAACAAATCTACTGTTTATCTTTCCCTCCAAGCTGTGTCTTCCTCCTTGATTTTTTCCCCTGCTTTTGCAACATCTGTTAGGTTAGTTTTGGTCCTTTGCACTGCACCAGATGTAACCCCAGTCCATCTTCTTGTAGTCACTAAATTTCCCAATTTTTTTCCCCCTTCAATTTCATTTCCTTTGATGGTATCTCCATTCCAGAGTGTTCGTAAGGCCTTCTTTTCTGTTTTGGCTTTCAGCGGTGAAATGAAATTGAAGGGGAATTTTGCCAAGCTTTGATCCATGTCCCTGCACTTGTTAGCGTACAAGCCTTTTCATGGCTTTTGACTTTGGCAAGGATTTTTTTTTTAAAGTATACATGCCATGTCTCTGATCTCTTCCCCCCCCCAGCTGTGTCTTCTTCCTTGATTTTTTCCCCTGCTTTTGCAACATCTGTCTGAACAGGCTTACTTTTGTAAACAAACTGCTGTAAATTTTTGTAAATAAACTGCTTTGGGGTAAAACAAGCTGTACTTTTTAGAACAGAAAAATGAGAAATGGAAGGGAATGAGCTTAATTCTGTAGATATAGTGCATTGGTTAAAATAAACTTTACTTTTGAGAGCAGAAAAATGAGAAAGGCAAGGGAATTACTGTTTTCAAGAGTTCTATTCTTAATAAGTTGTGCTGAACTCAAATATACTGAGACAGGAATAGCTTTTCATGTATGATGTTTTGAAATAGTTTCAAATTTGTAACATGCAGACAAGCATATTATCAAAGATTCCTGAACACTTTTCTGTGGAGACAGAAACTTTCTTAAGAGGATTTTTGGCTCTTCATAGGGCTGCTTATGATACGTCTGCACCAAATGCAAAACGTAAATATCCAGATGAGGGAGAAGCTGATGAGGAAGAGATTGAAGAATATAAGGTAAGAAAAAGAGGAAAAAGTTACTTTTCTTTGGTGTTGTGTCCCTGACTTAGAAAATTAGTGTGTATATTAAAATAAATGTGATGTGTATACATCCTTTAATATGTATGTTTCCCCAGTGGCATCTCCCTTGATGCCTTCCACTGCAGAAGTGTAAGAGAGAGGCCATAGATGCTACATTATTCACCTCAGGTGTGCATTGAACTGTGCACTCACCAAACCCCAATGTGTAGAGGCTTAATTAGTACTGCTCCTAGGAGGAGGTAGGCCTAGGAGTCAGTGCTCACAGGGAACAGCACTGAGCTGTACCTGGCTGTGGGAAGAAGCAGTAAAATGTGTGTTTGTGTGCTTGGGGAAACACAGAAAGAATCTTGACTAGAATTTCATTGTGTCAAAAGAAAAGTGGCGCAGTTAGCAGCAGGCACAGGCCATGGGATGAGACAGGGGAAGCTGAGAGTGTCTCCTGGCCCATCTGTGCAGTGCCAAGGAATGCAGTTCTGGATGAGTGGAAGAAACAAGGGATCCTAAAGGATCTGGAAGTAAGAGGCTTGGTTTGGGATGTTAAGTGTCCAAAATGCCCAGGAAGAGTAAGGTTACAAAAGACAAACCAAAATGCCTCCATGGTCATTGCAGTGTCAAACTCTCATGCCCTTCACTTTTCAAATGCTCATCCCAATGCTGTGTGACAGCTTTCTCCTCATGTGATGATTTGGCCAAGATAAGAGATATAAAGAGATTAAATAAAGGCATGATTACGATACAGCTGTCTTTATGATTTGGGTTGGGATCTGGTTGCAGTGTATGTCCTCCTCCCTTTTTTCCATGTCCTAATAACCTTCTTTCTGTGGTTAAATCGAATCAATGTCAATATGTATGTATTTATGAAATAGTTCGGTGTCTACTATTCTCTTGGATGAAATAGTAATTTTTTTAATAAAAAGCCTTCATGTTACATTTTGTACAGGTTTGTAAATCATGTTACATTTGTGTACAGGTTTGTAAATCTTCCTGTAATAGTGTCTACCTTTTATCTTACTAAACCAAAAGGTTAATGTATGACAGAATGGTTTTTGATGGTTGATTTTGAAAGTCTCTCTGTGAAGGGGCAGACATTATTTTTAACATGATAAGTGTTAGTCTGTGTATCTTGTTTAGTAAAGAATTTGTCACCATGAGGTAGACAGCTGCTTGAGAAGCGGTGTTTTTATTCTTGCATTAGTGATCAGTTAATATCAATTAATTTTACTTCTTCACCAAGTACATGGTAAAGAACTAAATTTTTATTACCTATAAAGTATATGTGGATAAGTTACTTGAGTTGGCAAAATACATGAATCTTATCATTAAGATTTTCTTAATCATTGTGGAGAAGACTTACCCTGAGGTGAGCTGTAACCACTTGCAAGTGGTCAGACTTTTTCTGTATTGTTGAAATGGAAGAATATTTTAATAACATTAGCTCAGACAAAATTCAGTCGAGCAGATGAACAGACTTAAGAAACTTGAAACCCCAGAGTAGAACATCTATTGTGGAGTCATCAGCTGTTTCCTGCAGGCATTGCTAATTCTCTATTGGCAAGGAGATAAGAACAGTAAAATTCCATCTGCATTTTCCTGAACTCTCTGAGCCTGCTTAAATTTAGTCTTCTAATATGAACTCATACAAAAATCTGCATCTTTAAGGTGTCAAGCCCTATTGTATTGTGTTTAATGCAACTTAGACAAAAGCAATAATAGACTTAACTAGAACTGTTGTGGACAAGTTTTGCAAGTTTCCCAGTTTTGTTTGGAAAATCAGAGGTATTTCTGATGTGAAGGGACTTGTGTCTATACCCCTGACTTGCACTGTTGGGTTCTATGTGATGGGATCAGGTGAGTCTTCTGAAATGATTTAAACTTTTTGTGCCCTGGCTTCACATTTGGTGGAAGTGAATGTACCCTCAAACCTGTGTGAGAGCAGTTTCTAAGATAAAAGGTGAAGTATTTTACTTTTCTCAGCCATGTAGGAATACCTGATGAAAAAAGAAAAAAAGCAATGTGTTTTAATTTTGGTGGGTTTTTTAATTTCTGTGTGTCTGTTTTTGGCTTTTTTGTAGCATAAGTGTGAATTTGTAGTGGTGATTCTCCATAAGGCTCGGGCTGATGTGAGAACAAAGTGCAGCACTGACTCCAGTCTGGCAGCTTGACTCCAGTCCTGGAGCCTGGCTCTGCCTTGCCAGCCTTGGGAGGTGGGTGATAGGGAAGAGATGCACTATTGGGAAAAGGAATCATGGCTATTTTCAAGTCAGAAAGTTCAGTTGTGGTTTTGGAGAGCTCCTAAAATACTCCTTTCTTGTGGAATTGTAACAGTTGTCCCAGAGTTAGCTGAGCTCCCTGGTGTGTATTTGGAAGTGAGAAACAATGGGATTAGAGTCTGCTGCCACTGTGAGGCCCCTCTGGGAGCTGTGAGTGCTGCTCCACCTGCTGCCTTCCCCAGGTGATTTGGCTCCATTGTTTGAATGTGTCTGAGTGTCTGGTGTGTGGAGTACAAAACCACTTGTGGTTCTATTTTGCTGTCAGCCAGCCTAATTTGAGACTGCCCCGTTCTACTTGGTTGGTGCAAGCAGAGACCTGCAGGCTTGGGGTGCTTCCATGCCATTGTTGTGGAGGCTGAAGAAAGCTTACTTGGTTGAATCATGGATTCCATGTATCTCCAGTCATTTGAAACAAGCTATGTTTGAATACTGTGGGGTGTTCCTGTTTCCCTAACTCAGCAGCTCTATAGCAGATGCTTTGGAAAACACAGATAATTAATGTACAAGAACCTAGTACCTTGTGTTACTGCTGGTGTCATTCTGTCTCTGCTGTGTCTGTGTCCTTTCCCTCTGAAAGTTGGTGGTGTGGGCTTTTGTTTGTGGCCACAAGATTCTTTTTAAACTGCTTACAAAGGCATAAAATAGAACTGGGATCACTCGGGTATCTAACTGGTACTTATCATCAAAAGGACAAGATTTAGAGAAGGATGAAAGAGGGAAACAGGTGTAATTTATGATGGCATAAGCAGTTTTTAGTAAAATTCAAGCTTTCAGCTTTTTTTTTTGACCTGAATAACACTTGCTGCTGCTTGTCTGTACATTTCTTTTCCTTGCAAACACTCTTGCTGTTTCTGATTGTAATCTTTTGTTTGATCTGGTTAGACAAGCAAAAAGACAGTCTCTCTCTAAGTTCATCACCTGAATGGGGAAGGGGAAGCTGTGACTTGTTTATCCCATCAGGCATTTCAGAAGTCAGTCCAAAGCTCCACCTTGGAAATAACAGAAGTTTACTTGAAGATTTTAACATTTAGAGGGATCAAAATTGGGAGGGACAGGTCTTAATTTTTTATTCTGCATTCAGACAGCTTATGTAGCATAGAGTAAATACAGCTGTAATAATGTGGCAGATGTTATCAATTGAGTAGTTGTTCAGTTGTACTTCTGTGTTCTCTAAATCTATATACTGGGTTGATCCAGGATCAGTGGGAAGGCAGTGATGTCAAGTGAGTCTCTTGAGTTTCTGTTCTCTCTCAGTTCTCTGTTGAATGTTCAGAGCATGTCAGTGTAACAGATCTCTGAGTCCCAGAAACTGTTGAATAACAGTCAGTGGCTCTCTAGATAGTTTTAATGTAAATTCTGGGGCTATAGAAGAGAAAGTTATATTTAAGGACAGTCCAGATGCAATACTGACTTGTACCATGAGCTGTTTCTTCAAAGTGTGGACTTTGCTAAGGCTGGGAAATAAGAGATGGCTGTCTGGATATAAATGCTCAGAAGTTCTGCTGCAGAATAATATTGACAAAAGATATACTTTCAGTCCAAAGAATAAAAGTTTTGTGGGACAAAAATGTAAAGCACTCTCAGGGGCTGCAAGTGAAGGGGTTTTTACTTTTTTCTTCTTTCCGAGGCCTTTCCCAGTAACTCTCTCCTTGTTGGTGAGAGAGGTGCAGACCTTTTGGGGAATAGGTAATTTTTTTTTCCCCACTTAAGCCGTGGAGCTGAATCTGCTGTTTGTACATTCCACTTCTCCTTATGATCTGCTTCTTAAGCAAAGGACCGAAACAGCTTGATCTTGTGTGCACACTTGTAATACCTGCTTTATTTCCAAGGATGAAGTAGAGCTGCAGCAAGATGAAGAAAACCTGCCCTATGAAGAAGAGATTTACAAAGATTCCAGTACCTTTCTTAAGGTGAGCTGCTTTTGCAATTGGAAGTGTAGTCAAAGCTGGCCTAGTTGTCTTAATCTGTTTCTGCAACTAATGGGATCTGAAATACAGCTTTAAAGGCTGAAGTAGTGGCTTGGAGCTCACAGGTGCAGAAGTTGCCTGTGACAGTTCTGACTGTTACTGGTGTTTGCATTATTCTGAGGCACCTCACAATGGGCTGCAGGAATGGTGGGCCTGGGTTGGAGCTAAAAGGATGGGTTGACCAGGGGAAATTATAAGGGCATGTTGAAAAGATAATCTGCTCCTTTCTCATTTATCAGATTAACATGTACAATGTGTCTGTGTATGTCCACTTATCTTCTGTTGCTCTCACTGAACTTCTTCCTATTCTCCAGGGCACTCAGAGCTTGAATCCACACAACGATTACTGCCAGCACTTTGTGGATACAGGACACAGACCCCAGAACTTCATCAGAGACGTTGGTATGTCACAGCCAGGAACTGTTTGAAGATGACTCATTTGATTCAATAGCACTTCTTTTTCCTCCCCTTTTGTAATTCCTTACAGTTGCTGAGAAGTGTAGATACACAAACTCTTCCTAGTTTTTTGTCTCAGTGTGCATACTATCAGTATAGGCATCTACATGAATGGTTTTATTTTCAGTTACTTAGGAGGTCATTATTGTCAAGGCTGTTCTTACCCTTAGTTTTACTTGAAAGTATTTCACCAGGAAGATTTTTTTTTTTCCAACCTAAGCTATTTTGATTCCAGAAAGTAGATGAGTTTAATGAGGAGATCTTGAAACCTCTGGAAGTTTACAGTTCAGCTGTGTACTGGGCTGTATTGCCTCTTAAGCATGTAAAGTATGGGAAATAATGACATTTAAGTCAGGAAGCAATATGGATAATGTTTCTCAGCTAAGTTAGGTAACTGCTGACAGCTTGTTAGAATGCCCAGGTGTAGAGGACGTTGCTTTTCAGGTTTACATGTATCCAGACATAACTTACTACTGAAATGATGCTGCACTGGGCCTGAACTTAAACTTGCTAAAACTAAGGCACGGTTTGGTCCTGTTTCCCAGAATAGGTGCCTGGCATTTGGTTTTTAAAAGGAGCAAAACATCTCCCTCTGCAGTTTTATGCAACAGTTCTCTTTATTTTATCAAGTGTAAGATTGCCAAGGCAAGGGGGTTGTGTTTTTAAATGGCAGCCCTAAGAGGTTTGATTTGCCTCCAGAGGCTTTTTAGTTTATTCTTCTCTATTTTGTGAATGGTTCTGTGAAACACATCTGGGCTGTTTTGACTCAATTGGATCTTTATGCCAAAAGTCCTTGGCCTTCACAGTTATGTACTTGAGGCAGTTCTGCACTCTTCTTGGAAATGGAGAAACAGCAGCCCCTATTGTGTGCCATGACTGCTGTGTAACGGATGGGGAAGGGACAGGACAAACAGGTGGTGTTGGTGTGGAGATGAACGGGGAAGGGACAGGACAAACAGGCAGTGTTGGTGTGGAGATGAACAGGGAAGGGACAGGACAAACAGGCAGTGTTGGTGTGGAGATGAACGGGGAAGGGACAGGACAAACAGGTGGTGTTGGTGTGGAGATGAACAGGGAAGGGACAGGACAAACAGGCAGCGATGGTGTGGAGATGAACGGGGAAGAGACAGGACAAACAGGCAGTGTTGGTGTGGAGATGAACAGGGAAGGGACAGGACAAACAGGCAGCGATGGTGTGGAGATGAACGGGGAAGAGACAGGACAAACAGGCAGTGTTGGTGTGGAGATGAACAGGGAAGGGACAGGACAAACAGGCAGCGATGGTGTGGAGATGAACGGGGAAGGGACAGGACAAACAGGTGGTGTTGGTGTGGAGATGAACAGGGAAGGGACAGGACAAACAGGCAGCGATGGTGTGGAGATGAACGGGGAAGAGACAGGACAAACAGGCAGTGTTGGTGTGGAGATGAACAGGGAAGGGACCGGACAAACAGGCAGCGATGGTGTGGAGATGAACGGGGAAGAGACAGGACAAACAGGCAGTGTTGGTGTGGAGATGAACGGGGAAGGGACAGGACAAACAGGCAGCGATGGTGTGGAGATGAACACCGCAGCAGCAGGGCCTGAGCCTTTAACAGGGCTGAGCTGTGTCAAGCTGTACATTGGTGAGCACACATTTTCCACACCATGATCACAACTCTGCTGAGGTGCTGCATGTTAGTGCACATGGCCCAAAGAGAAACAAGTGGTTCTAAGAGAACACCCAGCTGTATCTTTTTGATGTTGCTGTTGGAAAAGAGGGAGAGACCTGTGGGTCTGTGTTTGGTTAGTTTGAGGGTTTTGGATTGAAATTTGTTTTGCGTCTATTGCTTAGCTGCTGTTGCCCAGGGGTATTGGACTCAAAATGGCTGGAAGCAGCACAGTAGTGGAAACTGGGAGAACACAGCAGTAACTTTAAGCTGTTACATATGCAAAAAAAAGGATGAAAATAACTTTTGGGTGTTTCATGCACAAGTGGCAAGAGATAATAAAGGTTAGGTACTGAGAACTTCACTTTTATCATTGCATTCCTAGAATTGGGACTTAAGAAGTTTGAATTAAAATAAGGAAAGAGATGAAGGGTTCGTCGGTTTGGGTGAAGTTTTCCCCCCCCAATTTATTAGTACCATTCCAAGTTGTACTTTTAAATGAACATGAAGCCTTTTAAATCACTCCTACTTAAGTTGAAGTGATACTGCTTGGGAAGCAGGAATGACACCTTGTTTTGGTCTATGCTGAACCTGCTGCTGGCAGTACCAAACCCATTGTCTCTAAGCAAGAATGAAATATACTTCAAAGAATATTTTGCTTTTCACAACGTTTTCTGCAAAAGATCTAATGAGGGCTCTCTCCTTTGCATTCTGTGCACATGAAAGGTTGGAAAATTGACATCATAAAGCTAAATGTAGGAGTATGTGTTCAGATCTTCATGACTGCCAACACAGCACCAAATCTCAGTTTGAGGGTTGCCTCAGGGAACCAGCCACACCCCAGGTGCCACTTTGGAAACAGTCCAAAGATTACACCGTCAAAGATTACACAGACTCTGCTGTGAATTAATATTAATTAGATCTTAATAGAAATTTAGAGATGGGGGAAAACCAAAATAGTTTCTTTCATCATCTTGGCACTTTCAGTTTAAATGAAAAGTTGTTTCCTTCTGGTAACGGGAGTTGTGAATTCCTGATCAGCTGTAGTGTTCTAGAGAAGATCAGAGTATAAACACTGCATCAGTAACAGCCCTGATTGGCTGGGTGAGGGCTGGAGGCTTTTCTCAAGTACTGAATGAAAACTGCTTTAAAGGGTTTGCTTTGTTCTAACAAAAATTAAAATGAGGCTAAGTATTAACATTTGGACGTATTTAGAATACTGGACAATGCTTAATTGATAGAGATTTACTCTGTTAAGTAGTTGTTAACTTCATGTTTTCTTCTTCTTAGGCTTAGCAGATAGGTTTGAAGAATATCCAAAACTTAGAGAGCTCATCAGATTGAAGGATGAGCTGATATCTAAATCTAACACTCCTCCCATGTAAGTGTTCTTGTGGAAAATGCCTTTCTTCTCCAGACCTGTTTGAAGTTAGCTGTCTGCTTTGCAAATCTCTATCTTCAGCACCTGCTTAGAATTTACATTTTCTCTTTCTGTTTGTGTATACAAATGAATCAATTGAAGCATAGAAGAGAATAAGACCACTCTGGTGTTGTTAGTTTAATCTAGATGTTTAATACTGTGTATAAACCAGATTTTCTTTCCAGTGTGTGATTATTTATAGTCTCTAAAGCTTTGATTTTTTTAAGGCCAAATTGTCAACTCATTTGGCTGAAGGCTCTAATTTGGGAACTAAGAGAATATCATGTGGTGGTGAATCTCACGTTTTTATGTGGTTCATGATAACAAGAGCTTTAGAAAATTTGCCTCTTAATATAACCTTAGCTTTTCTTGTAGCAGCTGGTTTTGTATAGTGTTCAGCTATTATCTCAGTGTCCATCAATCACTTGTTATTTTGGAGTTGAAGACAAAAATGTTTAGGCTGACTGAAAGTCATTTGTCCTTGTTTTTGCTGAATGTCAGACACAGCCCCAGTGTGCAGTGTGTTACTCCAGGGATTCAGACCTCTCTGAACTTAACAACTTAATCTTATGCTTGGCACATGCAGTAGTCTTGATCTGTACCACAAAAATCCACCTTATTTAATGATAGTCACATAAAACCCTATGAAATAGTTGTCTGAACAACTGAGTGCAAATTGCAAACTCAACCTGCTCTTTTAAGCTAGGCATGTGTTTTGGTCATAAAGTACAAAAGTAGGAAAACCAGTAATCAAATGCTGCCTTCTGACAACACCAAGTACATATGGAATCTTTTCCACACACTGGGAAGGGGAAGGTGGTGGTCTATTGATCAGCTTTACTAAAGTTAAAGGAATTTAGGGGAGGGCAGTGTAATTTTTTATAGTGATAGAGCAGTGAGTGGTGTGCAGGTGTGAAGGAGAGTCATAAGAGTGTGCGTGAGCATGTGTTTAATGGAGTCAATGGCTGGGGGCAGGGGGTACAGGAATAGAGAAATACATGTATACTATATAAAAAGTGACAATGTTTCCAGTATTTAGAGTCTTTGGAATAATTCTAAAAATATGCCACTTTCCCAGTTAGCCAGGCAGTGAGTGTTTGCTTCTGAAATGTTTATGTTTCTTCCTATTATAGTCCACAGGTGTACAGGAAGTGCAGTGAGTCTGCACTAGGTATTGTTGTACAGTCTGCGTGGGCATCTGTTTCCTGCTTGCTAAGTTAGAAGCCTAAAAACTGTTTATTAAGACTACTTAAAAACCACAATGCACCAGCCTTGATTAAGTGAGGATGTGTAATGGATCTCCTCTGGATTTAGAGCATTTGAGATGTACAACCCACCCAGGAGACCCTGCTCTTAACTGGCTGCACAGAAGTGCTGTGTGGAGTGGAGTTCACTGTTGCACCTTGTCTGATGCAGACTGGCATCATCTGTCTAAACAGGTATTTGCAAGCAGACTTGGAAGCCTTTGATATTAGAGAACTGAAGTCCAAATTTGATGTGATTCTCCTGGAGCCACCGTTGGAAGAATATTACCGAGAGACTGGCATTACTGCCAATGAAAAATGCTGGACCTGGGATGATGTAAGTACCTGTTTTGCTGTGAAGAACATTTCATACGTTTGTTTAAGCAAATGGTTTCAGGGTTTAATGTAGTGAATACAACTTTTTGTTCCCTCTGAGCCTGGCTGAAAACTTGAGCCTAGTAATAGTGGGTTTTCTCTCTGCCCTTACCTTCACTGAGCTTTCTCTGATTTTTAGCTGTTGAAATACTGAATGTCCATTGAAAAGATTCCAGTGTTTCTTGAAATTCTTGAGATTATTAAGGCATGTTTTTTAATATGCTGGTCTTCTAGTAAAAAGTGCAGGTTAGTTTGCTTTACTGACATTCCTCCATTCTCCAAGTATTGATTGGGTAGGAAATTTTGATGGTCAAACCAGTAATAATCCCTAGAAACTTAACAAAATAGGTAAACCTCACTTGTGGAAGTCTTTCTCATGTATTTATTCAAAAATTATGCCTGCCAGTGCTGCCCAGGGAAAAAACATTCCATCCTAACAGAAAAACTAGAGTGTGGGAGGCAGGACTCATCTTCCTAGTGTGGAGTTACATCCTCCTAGACTGGCTCCTACTGCATTATTCTTCCTTGGAATGGCATTGAATGAAGCTTGATTTGATGTGTTAGCAAGTTGGAGATGAATCCTTTCAGCTTGTGATGACTAGCGGATGCTTTGCATCCCAAAGTTATTTCATCTTGAATGTTACTCATTTGCCATTGTTGAACCACTGTTCTCATAAATTCTGGCTGCTTTTCCTGAAAGTGAAAATGGAGAGAATGTCTTTCCTATTTAGTGATAGGAATTAAGCTGAGATTTTTAGAATGTCTTCACGACCTTCATGTGAATACTTAGAGAGAGGAGAAGAAACAGAGTACTCTTGCTTCTGTATTAAATATTTTTGCTGCCAGTCTAATGATAAAACAAAGCAGAGATTTGAGGAGGAGGAGACCATGTGGATTGTGTTGACCTTTTAAGTCTAGAATTTCTGAAAATAGGTAGAATTTCTGTTTGTGATGGTTTCATCCCAGCCAGCAGCCCAGCCCTGGGCAGCCACTTACTCACTCCCCCACCAATGGGATCAGGTAGAGAATTGGAAGGGTAAAAGCTGGAAAACTCAAATTTTGAGATGAAGACAGTTTAATGGGAATACAAAAGCCAAGCACACAAGCAAAGCAAAACAAGGAATTAGTTCCCTGCTTCCCTTGGGTGGCCCCCAGCTGTGCTTCCTGATGGTTTCTGTGACAATGCCTCAAGACTTAGTATTCTTCCTGATGCAACTGGTGATTTGTATTTAATTCAGAAATGCTTTTATTGCACTTACTGTTACTAGATCATGAAATTGGAAATTGAAGAAATTGCAGCCCCAAGGTCATTTGTGTTTCTGTGGTGCGGCTCGGGCGAGGGTCTGGATCTCGGCCGAGTGGTAAGATGTTGTTTTAATTCAATTTATCAGGGACAGGCTTACGCGTTTATTTTTATCTTTGACTTTTCCCTGTATAGAATTCTCAACCCTAACTACTGAGGGATGTTTTGTTACTGTGTTAGAGGATATGTGATTTTAAATGGCATTAACTGTTTAGGTACTGTAAATGTCCAGCTGAGTCACTGACTATGTGAGGAAGCATAATTCCTTGGGGTTGTGGTTTGGATGTATGTGTGGTGACAGAGGAGCAGGTTGCCAAGTTAGAATTTTTGAACAGAAGTCTCAGTAGTTTTCTGCCAGAAAACTGCAATGCTGTTCATGCTAGAAGAAAGGCCCTACTCTTTCAGAAATTGAGATACAATTGTCATCTTTGTGCATGCCAGGGAAATGCTGCTCGTGTTGGGGATGCTGCACTAAGAATTCCCAATTGGCTCCTGCAGTGCTTAGTTCAAGCAGTATTTTCAAGCAAGCCAATTCCCAATTGGCTCCTGCAGTATTTAGTTCAAGCAGTGCTTTCCATGAAAACAATTCACAGACAACTGTTTAAGGGCAGCTGTGATCACGGATCTCTTTGCTTTGGCTGGTTTCAGTCTGAAGTTGGGTTTGGTCATAGACAGGTTTGTAGTAGCTGGACAGTCCTTGACACTCACTCCTAAGTGAGTGTTCAGTTCAGGTCACTTGATGTTTTTATGTAGTGTGAACTGGTTTATTTGTTTCTAACATTTAGTGTCTGCGTAAATGGGGTTACAGAAGATGTGAGGACATTTGCTGGATTAAAACAAATAAGAACAACCCTGGCAAGACCAAGACTCTAGACCCCAAGGCTGTCTTCCAAAGAACCAAGGTAAAGGATTGGCTCCATTCCTCCTCTGTTTCCATTCTGTCTCTCTGTGCTGATGACACAGCCAGTGTTGGTGACAGGCTTGTGAGAGAAAGCCAACATGAAGACTTCCAAGTTCTGTTCTGCAAAGTACATTTTATGGAACTAAACTTAGCAATAGAATTTGACTAAAGTCAATGTCAAAAGAAGTCTTTTAAATCTGTAGATTTTAACAGAACCTATTAATAAAAAATAACTATAGAAGATCAGCTATTGGTTCTAAATGCACACTAAGTGTGCACCCAGAGTTTGGACCAGAGAGAAGCCTGGGGGAACCGGAGCGTCTCCTGCCTTCCTGGAAGTGATTGTATAGCACCAGTGACAGAATGGGTCAGCTTGGTTTAAACCAAACTTTTTTTAAGATGCTTGGTGGAGGATGTATATTGAAGGAGGTGCAGAGAAAAAAAAGTGTTCTGGTTTGTGTCTCAAATGTCTGTTGATCAGAAACTTAGAGAAATGTTAATGGGACTCATAAATAATTAGTTTGGGTATATGTGGGTGTAACTGGAAGTTTTACTGAGTACAGAGAACTGATTGACAATTTATTAATTTCCAGTTGTCAGTGAACCTCAGGGCTCCTTCCTCATTCATTAATCATTCATTAGCATTAAACATCCTCAAGTCTGTCTCAAATTGGCCATTGTTAGGAGTATAAACTTCCCTTTAGGATATCTGGAATCTCTGTTTGACTTGCATTTACATTAATCTGAAGTTTGTTTGAAAGTGTGTTGTATTAGTTATAAATATTTAAAAGTATAAGTATTGTGTGTTTATTGCATATAGTTTTGCAAATATGTGCAGTTTGCTCATGAGGGCAAGGTTAAACTAACACAGGACGATTTGAGGGGAGTTTATGTCTTTATTTAGCCCAGAAAAATAGTTTCTGGTATGGGGGAATTCCTGTTTATCGAGCAAGAGTTGAGCTGAGGTCACTGTTTGTGATGAACACTGAAAATGGAGTGAGTTTGCTCTGACTAAACAAACACTGTTGCAAGTTGTGTTTGCCAGTGCTTAGAGCAGCAAATGGGTTCTGTTGTGTTTGGCTGAGGAATCTCTCCAGGGATGCTTGGTGCTGTGCCACTTGTCAGAGAATCCCAGTGAGTTGTGAGTGACATACCCTGTGGTATGAAAGTAAAAGGTTGGGGATAGTTCTCCTAAGGACTAGGCTGAGGAGGCTTGGCTTGGTGCGTGATTTGCCTAGCAGTATTCTGCCTTTCCCTTAGGTAAATTCTAGGTCCAAAGCCGTGTTGCATGAGTGCAATACCATCTGCACAGATTTGACAGGTCTGATGTTGTGCCTTTCATGTTTACCCACTCACTTTGCAAAGCCTTTCCAAAATTCAGGAATGATTACGTTCTCTTGTCTGCGGCTGTTTCCTGAGCCATCTGGTGGCGCTTAGCGAGTCAGAGCATTTGATCCTGGGGAACATCGCTCATCCAAGATTGATATTCCCAGAAACAGAGCTCTGAAATGAGTATGTAGGAGCCTCTTTTCATCCTGGAACAACCCTCATTCATGGGTGCCACATATCACTCACTCAAATTGTTCTGCAGTGTTGGAGAAGGAAGGAAAATGATGCATGTTACAGCTCAAGAACACTTCTAATGCTGATGAGCTGCCTGAGAGTGTGATAGTGGTTGGGGGTTTTATGCAGTAATATCTTCTAGAAAGGAATCTGAGGGGAATTCTGAGGGTCCCTTTATTAACAGAGGTACAGTATGAAAAAGTACCTATTATTTCCACTGCCTGTTTCATGACTGAAAACTTTTCAAATTATTATATGAATAAAGTTATGTTCAGAATGCTAAGACAGGTATTAATCACAATTAATAACTATTCCTTGCTCTTGCCATCACGTTTTTCTCTTTTGCCTTGTGGAGACTTCTCAGCCTTTCCAGCCTAAAGTTCTGTAACTGAAGAAGTCTACATAGCTGACTTGAGCCTTGATTTGAGTTTTACCACCTCATAGTGGAGTTTATCAAGCTTCTGCCTAAAGTACTGCTCTGCTTTGTTCTCAGCTGGCTCCTTTTGTGGCTCCAGCTTTTCTGCTCTAGTTCTTGTTTCAGGCTTTTCTCTCCTGTAAGAGTGGAATGTGCTCAGAACTGTCCTTGCTGTCCCTTGTGCTCACCTGGTACAGCAGTAGGTGTGACAGGTGACAGCTCTGTGTGTCTGCAGGAGCACTGCCTCATGGGCATCAAGGGCACCGTGCGCCGCAGCACCGACGGAGACTTCATCCACGCCAACGTTGACATCGACCTCATCATCACTGAGGAGCCTGAAATCGGCAACATAGAGAAACCTGTGGAGATTTTTCACATCATTGAGCACTTCTGCCTCGGGCGACGGCGGCTTCACCTCTTCGGGAGAGACAGCACTATTCGACCAGGTAACTGCTGTGTTGTTTTTGACCAAACAGTAAAATTCATTGCAGGGTCCTAAAAAGGTTTCCAGATGTATGTCATAGGTCAGACAGCAGATCTGAAGGACGTAGTTTTTTGGTGTATGTGAAGATCCATCAGTCACAGAACTGTTGTTTAGAAAGTTTATGAGAACTCTCATTTCTGTAATTTTTCCAGAAGAGAGATTTTTGTTTACCAATATTTTTGCCTTTCCATGTGTTAAATGCATCAGTGAGCATAAAAAAATCCAGCTGAGATTCCTTTTCTCCCATATGTTTATGCTTCTCAGAAAAGTGATTTCTTTTTCCAACTGATGTTCAACCCCTATGAGCTTAGTGCTCTTGCCTGTGTCTCAAGTGGCAGTATCTCACAGTAGGTCCTGCATCTGGCATGATGCAAAATGCAAAAAAATACATGGATCAGGACACATTGTTCAGGTATTCCTTCAATGCTGCTGCCAGGGGATTCTGTATGTCAGTGTCTCACAGTCAGGTTACTCTGGTATAACTTCAGAGTCTTTTTTAAAAGCACTGTTGTGGTGTAAGGACAAGTAAGAAGAAGGGGTAGGGGTTTGTGAAAGCACAGTGTGAATGTTGCCACAGCCATGTCTAATAAATTTTTTTTAAAAAAAAAGGAAAACAAGCCCTTAGAAATGCCCAGATGAATCTTAACTTGGCAGCAACTCTAGAGGTGACTTTTCATTCTGTTCAGTGAAGTTGGTTGTTGCTTCTGCTCACTGTGGTTTTGTTCCCGAGGTTGGCTGACCGTGGGACCCACCCTCACAAACAGCAACTTCAACGCAGAAACGTATTCTTCGTATTTCACGGCTCCCAATTCCCACCTGACCGGCTGCACCGAGGAGATCGAGAGGCTGCGGCCCAAGTCCCCGCCGCCCAAATCCAAGTCCGACCGGGGTGGGGGTGCTCCCAGGGGAGGAGGAAGAGGAGGGACTTCGGCAGGACGGGGAGAAAGGGGCAGGGAGAGGAACAGAACCAACTTCCGTGGTGAGCGGGGAGGCTTCAGAGGGGGCCGTGGAGGGACCCATCGAGGGGGCTTCCCCACCCGCTGAGGAGGTGACGGCTGCTTCCCCTGCCTACGCTTTGACTGGGAATCTTTCCTGTAGTCTTGTTTTTCCTACAGTGAAAAACTTGCCCCTTCCTCTGGGGACTCAAGCTAGATGACTTTTACAATTGTTTTTGGTGCACGCAGTTCCAGACAGTCGGCCTTGCAGTCTCAGCCCTTCACACCGCGGGTAGGATGGAAATTACCCCCTTGCTCTCCACTTAGGAACCTTGCAAGCTGGAGACTTCTTTTTCAACTTCATTTTCTCCAAAACATGGATTCCTCCTCCATCATTGGAGGTTTGGGTTTGGGTTGACTTGCATTAATATGATGGAGTGGGCATGAAATGCAGTTCCGATTTGGATGGCCACAGCAGACTTGGTGTCCTGTGGAAGAAAAAGTTCTGTGTCTGTATTGACACCTATTTTAACTTCTCTGAAACCAAGGAGCAAATGAAATAAATAGAATTCTATTTTTTCTTATTTGGTTTAAACTTCCCAAATTATTCTGGGAATAGGAAAAGGTGAATTTTTAATTTGTGGTGTGTATGCACTCACCTATTGTGTCAGCAGTGGGGACAGTGGTAGTTCTGTGCAGCTGTGCGTTGTCCTTCCTGGAAAGCACCAAGTTGTGCATTTATGTGCAGCCCAGAAGTGCACAGGTCTGGGCTGCTCCTTGAGTGGGGATTTTCCCCCAGTGTGTGTCTGTAACACCTTGTTCCTTGGGAGGGAGAGCAGTGTCACTGCAGAGCAGTCCCAGAGACCTCGCTGGAGGGAGGATTGCACCCGGGAGGTGATGTGAGTGTGTGATTCCTGAAACAGGGAACGCTGAGGGAACTGAGTGCTGCCTTTCCCTGCGGGTGTTGCACACATTTGAGAATGGCTGTTGCTGATCCAGTGCAGTGGGGAAAGAAAGCGACCCCCTTCCCTAGGTACAATGTCTGTTTTTAGCAAAACCACAACTCTGAGCTTCTTGTGCAGTTCTTGAAGGGTGAACAAACCCGGCTTTTGGTGTCTCAGTGTCTTAGGTGAGGGTTTTGGAAAACTGGCGTTTAAGTCTAAATGTTTCTCCTGAAGCCCAGCTTTTAAATAACTGTCCTGTAAAGTAGTGGATTATTAAACATGTTTATCAAAGCTGATGTTTAAATGTCTTTCTTAATATTTTATGTTTCTTGTCCCTGAGGTTTTGGAATTGCTAGGTGGTTTCCTCTGTGCTGTTGAAAACAGGAACTGTTCTTTTGATTTTGAAGATTTTGATGGGCTGGGGAACTCCCTGGCTTTGGTCATGTTTAACAGGAGATTGCTGTAGTGCCAATGGAAACTGCCTGTTGTTTACAGCTTGTTTCTTCCTCTGCCATATGTGTGTATCTGTAGAGTGACTGGATTTGGGAAGGGGAATTTTAAAGTTGATGTTAAAGTTGAGGGGAGTTACGAACTTGATGGTCATTGGTGAAGTCTGCCATGGGCTATGGAACGCACCTGAGAGAAGGTAAATGCCCTAGAAGGGACACTTTTTTTGGTGATTTTTGCCCTAATTATGTTGTTATTTGAAAAGTAAAGTTTTTTTTTTTTTAATTTTACCTTAGGACCAGTGCTTTTGTGCCAGGGAAAAGTATTTTCTTGTTTTTCAATGAGTAGAAAACGTTAATTTCCATTTCCCTCTTTTAATTACATGCCCAATACTGGTAGTTCAGTGAATGAGCTGCTTTTAACATACATTTAGGCTAAAGGGAAGAGGAGAGTCAAAAGCTATTGGATCTGAAGTGCTTCTGTATTAGTTTGTGGTGCTGCTCAAGACTTCACTGACTGAGCAAAGTCGTGGCAGGTGATGGAGGTTTCTTGGTTCTTCCCATCAAAGCAGAAATAGCTCAATAACTGTAAGGAAAAAATGAATAGTACTGCAGCAAGTGTTAGGTTAGAGCTGTCTGGATGGGCCACCTTTACCGGAAAAGCCTGATGTCCATGTTGTTAATGAGCAGCTGATGGAATGTTTTAATTGAGGTTAATGGATAAGGAACTTCACCTCTGCATTTGTCCTCCTGAAGAGCAACACTGCCCCTGCTCAACTGAAGGTGGAATTTCAGCAGTGGCAGACTGACAAAGGCTGTACAGGTAAGGCAGTAGTGCAGGGCTGTGCACTCCCAAATCTTGGTCCATATCCTTGTGGAGATGGACATGAGACTTAGGAAGTACTGGAGTGAGACACAGTCCCACACACCCCATTATACAGGAAGAAAATTGGGCCATTTTCTCAGTCACTGGGATTTGGACCATATAGAAACGGTGACTAGAGATGAAAAACTGTTAATGCCATTAGCAACTGTCAGTTAATTTCTCACTTGTAACACTTTCAGAGCAAGGGGAGAATAAGGCTCAGAATCACTGCACTGATGAGTATTTAATTTGCCACAAGTAAATGAAGCCTTAATTTGAGCATGCTCTCCTGGAAGATAAAAAACCTGATGAATTTGTTCCTTTCTGCTTTTATTAAATGCATAATGCCTCCAGTCGGCTGAACTCGGTGCCGCTCGCAGGGTTCGGCCGAGCTCGGCGCGGTTCGGCTGATCTCTGTGCCGATCGCTGCATTTGGAGCTCAGCTCGGTTTGGTTCGACCGACTCTGTAATGTTCAGGTTGGTTCGGCTGATCTCGCGTTGGTTCGGCTTATCTAGTTTAGTTTGGTTCGGCTTATCTAGTTCGGTTCGGCTTATCTAGTTCGGTTGAGCTGAACGCGGTTCCGTCCCGTTCCGTTCAGCTCACCTCAGCTAAGCTCGGATCGATTCGGCCAATCCCGGCCAGAGTCGGCCGTTCGGGTAGGCTCGGCTGTTGTCGGCCACACTCGGCTGTTGCCGGCTCCACTCGGCCACACTCGGCTCTTCGGCCCTACCTGACTCTGCTCCGCGCTGCAATGGCGGCCGCTGGCTGGGCCCCGCTCCCCGGCCTGAGCCCCGGGAGGGGACAGAGCGCTGGGACAGCCGCCTCAGCCCGGCTCACCCTGTCCCTGCCCGCCCCCGCGTCCCCCGGAGCGCGCCCTGCAGCGCAGAACGCGGCCTTTGGGCCAGGAGCGGGGACAATGCCCTCGGCTCGGCAGCAGCGCCGGGAGGCAGCGGGCGGTGCCCTCAGGTGAGCGGCCGGAGGGGAGGGAGCTGGGCCGGGGGCACCGGGGCCGGGGGCACCCACAGGGGGCCGGGGCTGCTTTGGGCGCTGCTGCGTGGGACCCGCTGCGGGTGGCACGGCTCTGTCCCGGGCCTTGCGGCTCTCTGGGATCGTGTGCCGTGGAATAAAGCTGGGGCTCGTCCCAGCTGCGGGAACAGCGTTTTATTGGGTGAGAAACAGAGTTCACTCTTTAGAATTTTTACACGTTTGTTAAGGGATAAAAGGCAGCGCTGGAGTGCTTGGCTGTTTGCCAGGAGCACCCGGTTCCCTTAAACCGTGTTGTCTAGATTCTGTTCCATTGCAGTGGTGTGTGCATATTCATTAGAGTTTATACATATTCAAACAGTCCTTTCAGTTTAGATGTTCTTTTGCTTGGTTTGAACCTTCGTGCCATCTTGTGGATTAAACCAATATACTTTATTTCTTCCTGTGGTGCCATCCTGTTTTATTTTCACTCCCTCGTTATTTGATAACGAGGGTCAGTAAATTTTTCCTTTTTTTCAGTGCTCTGGTTTCTGTTATCTTGTGTTTCAGATAAGATTGTCCCCAGCTGTGGGAAATCACCTCATTATCTGACACCATTTTCTGAGTTCCTTACATGTAACAGCATTTGAACATTTCACAGTCTCTATTATGCTACAGCCTAAACTAGTGTCTGTTACAGTGCTGTTTATGAAAGCTGTGCAGTGCATACACGAACTGACAGATTATCCTGGATCAAGAGCAGTAGTTACAGACTGTCCCCTCTCGGGAGTTTTGTGCTCAATAACACCGTGCCAGAGCTCAGACATAAATGGCAAGGGCAAGAACTGCATTTGTTATGTTCCATTCTGGGCTGGGCTGAGCTCTGTTTGCCGGGAAGCAGCGGGATGGGTGTCCCTGTGCCCACCCCCCTGGGTCCCAGAGAGAAGCTGCTCCTGTGGCTGCAGCTGAGGGGCACTGGGAAACCTGAACGGTCCTGATGGAAACCGATGCCAAACCGGGTTTGCTTGGGTTTGGGACTTGCCATTTTCCCCTGATCCGTGGGTTTTGCCTTAGGAAACAGGAACTGGGCACCAGGACATTTTGTTAGCCTAGAAGAGACGAGTTTGTTTGTATTTATTTCCTGAGGCACCTGGATCGATTTGGGTCTCAGTTGGCACCCGAGAGCCTCCTCTGTGTGCTGGGTGGGGTGGTGGCTACCAAAGGGGTAAAAGGTGGAGCAGGAGGGTGGGTGGAGAGGAGAGCAGTGGCTCTGTGGGGATTTGCATCTGGAAAGGGCCCTCAGTTTCCTGGCGGGAGTCCTGGAATCAGAGCTGAGAGTCGCTGAGCAGTGAGGATCGTGCAGCTGCAGCGCCGAGAGTGCAGAGGCTGCAGTGGGCGTTGTCTGCTCGCTCTCCTGATGTCCCATCTCTAATGCTGGGCTGGCACCCAGGCACCTCCCAGGGCTGCACAGCCTCAGGGCAGGGGTGGTTTGTAAATGTTTTAAATGCTGCAGCAGCTCCCTCAGGCTGGATGAGTGTGAGGATATCCAGCTCTGCCTTCGGGCTTGGAGCACGGCAAGGGTGCAGGGCTCACGGTCAGTCTTGTTTAAACACTTGTAATAGCAAAATATTTTAAAGCAGAGACTGTGAGGCAATAACAAAGGCGAGTCTGTGGCAAGGATAGGTCCGAGGTGTCTTTATTAAAGATCCACACTGCTGGATGTTGTGTCAGAGCCCTCTGGGGACAGAAGGTGTCCCCAAGCTTCATGAAGCCCTTGTTTCCTGCTGGCAGGGCAGGGGGTGAGCCCAGCCTCGGGGGCTGTGTGGCTCCTCCTGCCTGGAGCAGGGACAGCCCGTGGGGCTGAGCCCCAGAGGTTCAGTTGCTGGAGCA